CAAAGCTGCATGAGGATAAGAGAGATACAATACTTGGAATTCTTCTAGGAAAAATCAAAGGAATACATTTTAAGGACCAATAAACATAGAATAAACGTTGTTATATAGCCAAATATTTACCATCATACAACACATCAGAAGGTTCTCATACCAAGTGTGAAGCTGACATTCTATGAATTTAAATTAGCTATGGAGTTTTACAAGTGATGGCAGGCAGGTTTTCTTCTATGGGATTACTGGGCAATAAGTAATCTGTGTGTAAAAAATGACTTTTACAAAAGCAGCTTTAACTCACATACCTTCATTTTGGATAGTCTCCTGAAATGTGTACAAAAAGCATTTTTAATGCTATTATAATCTAAGAATATAAAATGTTGAATATATGGTTGGTAGAGAACTCAACATACACTTATTATTATTATTATTATTATTATTATTATTACTACTACTACTATTATTATTCAGGAGTTATATAGCACCAACAGTTTGTTTAGTGCTTTACAAAGTGATGGCAAGCAGTACAGTTATAATACAATTCAATACAAGAGGAATCAGAGGGCCCTGCTCATTAAAGCTTACAATCTAAAAGGGAAGGTCAAATTATACAAAAAGGTAATAACTCTGGAGTATGTACTGAAAATTTAAAAAACATGTATTTGTTAGGTGGGGGGAGGATAGGCTTCTCTAAAGAGTGGATAGAGTAGGAGATAGTCAGTCAGGCTGATTGGGGTAAGGAGTTCCAGAAGATGGGAGAGGCTTTGGAGGTGAGCATGAGAGGAGGCGACAAGAGAGCTAAAGAGCAGGAGGTCTTGGGAAAAATGAAGAAAACATCTTGGTTGGTATTTTGTAGTAATGTAGCTGGGGCAGAGTTGTGGGTGACCATGTAGGTTGTTGGTAATATTTTGAATTTTATTTGTTGGTTCAGTGGAAGCCAGTGGAAGGATCCTCAGAGAGGGGCAAGAGACACTGAATGGTTGGTAAGGTGGATGAGTGTGGCAGCAGCATTTATGATAGACCGAAGGGGGATAGCCTATGTAAAGGTACGCCAATGAGGAGGGGATTGCAATAGCTAAGGTGAGAGAAAACCAGGGAGTGAATTAGAAGCTTTGTGGTGGTGTTGATTAAAAATTGGTGTATTTTGGACATGTTGCAGAGGTTGAGACAGCTTTGGACAATGGCTGGATGTGGGGCCAAAAGGAAAGTTCAGGATTATACCTAGCACCCTGGCATGTGGGGACAGACTAATAGTTGTGCCATTAATCTCAACAGAGAAGTCATGAGGGAGGAAATATTATAAGCTCAGTTTTGCATAGATTGAAGTGGTATGACAACCATACTGAAATGTCTGTTAGTAAATTACACTGTTCTACAAATTTTTATTTTTTGCCAGTTTTGGAAACAAAAGGATCCATTTCTTAATGAATTTCACATTCTGAGTTCAAATATAACAATGAAATTTGTCAATTGGCTCTAGTTTTTCTGTAAACGGAAAGTTTTCTACTATAGGCGTAATGACTACATAATGCACAATAATTATATAGATAGATGTCTTTCCACAAATATAAAGCAAGTGATATTGACTACATAACAAAGCCTAAATGGCATAATATATTGCATAGGATTACCAAGAAAAATTATAGCCATAAGCTAAGTTGAATCATTTTAATACTTAGGATTCTCACTAGTTTTGTCTTCAGTTTGTGTCGGTTTTGCTTCTCTTGGCTTTTCTCTTGTATTTGAGGAAAGGGCTATCTCTAACAACTGCACGTGACTACACGCTTCAGGTTCTTCCTCACTTGACTCAACCACGAAGGATTCTGGTGCTTTAGGAATTGGTAGCCCCTCTCCATGAGGAACTGGACGTATTGCCGATGGAATATTTGGATAGTGCACAGATAACTTTTTCTTCTTATTTAGCCCTTTTACAATTGGAGGCACCATACAAAAGTAACAATTACTAACATGATCTGTTGGCTCTCTCCAAATCATTGGCACAGTGAAAGGCATAGATGCCTTTTTTCCATTCAACCATTGCTCCAGTGCCGTCCCACAAGAATTGCAGCATATATGTGGTGCCCAGCTCTTGTCCTGGTCTCCTATCTTGCAGCCAAAATACAAGTTGTAGGCTTTCTTAATCATTCCTGTTATCCTCCTTTTTTGTGAGATAAAAGTTATTTCACCGCAGATATAGCAGAAATTATCTGCTTTATTCACACAAGTTCGAGGCATTACTGAGTAGCCTATATAAGCATAAAACGAAATGTAAAGACGCTGTCGAACTACAATCAGCTACAGATACTGCAGCTTTTATGCAGTGAAGTGATGCAATTAAAGGCTAATATTGCATCATCTCAGTATACATGCAATTTTCTATTGGTCACCAGTATCAATTGCGCAATATGCAGCTGAAGTTGCATCATAATTTTGAATGGCTTACGTCATTAGATGGGTGAATATATCATGGAAACTAGAGCCAATCAACATTTTTTAGGGTCATTTTCATTTTCAGCACCCCAAAATTATGTAAGATTAGCTAATTTTATGCCCAAAACTTTTTACCTGTTGAACAGTGTTATTGATAAATAGATAGATATGGGTGTTATCAACAAACAGTAAAATTCATATATGAAGCCATGGGAGGATAGATTGAGAATAAGAGTGGTCCAAGCACAGAGTCTTAGGGGACTCTTAGAGGAAATGAAGAGGAAACCATTATCATGTAATGGTTTTTACCTTGCTTGGAAAATACACCCTCAAGTTGAAGCCATAAAGATTGTATTGAACTCGTTATACAAATATTCAATTAAATGGGTTCTTTATTTTGAAATATACCAAATCTATGAAAAGTAGATTGTAAACTTTAAGTATTGCAGTTTATTTTGATTATATTACCTAGAAAGCTTTCAACCCCTCCCCCCCAACACCAGGGCATTGCCTTTTAAGTGTTTTTTGATCAAGTCACACCTCCTGGATATATTTTGGCATCCAGTAATTTTTACAAAATGAAAAGAGTTGTGAGGATGTCATTGTTAATGTGGCGCACTGATATCAGCAACTACTCCGCTACTAGGTATTAGGAAAACAAACTCATGAATTGAGATTTTCTCTTTAAAAATAATAAAGGAAATGGGAAAAAAAGTGAAGGAATAAATAAATTAGAACGTTTTAGAATATTTAGAAACATTTTAGAATGGACAGAAATAGCTATAATAATGAGCAATGCCATTGTCCATGAGATGGCAACATGTATTGATTGCTTTATAATATAACCCCAGGGAAATGTCAGTAAGGGGTACCCTTAATTTAATTTATTTTGTATGAGACCATTAAGCACAGAGATACCTCAGGGTTTTCTTCTTTCCCACCTGCTGCTATTCAGAGTCATAAATAAATTACTGTACCTGTCATTCCACTGCAAGGCTTTCACGGACATTGAGTAGCAGACTTTTTGCTATAGGATTTCAGTAACACACTATGAGGTTTACCAAAGTGTTTCACATCAATTTTTCAAATACATTTTTTATCAAAGCTAATGTTTTTTTATTAAAGCTAAGTTTCTGTACTTAGTCAGATAATTGACCATATACAGTTCAAAGGAAATAGAAATTAGACATACAAAGGGATGTAAACAAAAAATGACCAATTGCCTAATAATTGATTGATGTGATGAGGAAACCATCGTATGGGCATTATGAAACCTTTGCAGACATTGGAATTTTAAAGAATAATCAGAAACCTGTTTAGAATTTTTCTACCCAATAGTTATTATTCCTCCTAGGCAAGGCTGACACTGAGGGATGTCTGCTCAGTGCATGCATGGCCAATATGAGCATGCATGTTTATGTCATAATTGGTCCGATCTTCAGATTACCATCATGTCTTTTTTTTTTTTTTTTTGCAGTACATTTTACATCTGTAAGGTAATTTTCACTCTAAGCCCCATTCACACCAGAATGAAGCATATTTCAAGAAGTTCTTCAACACTCAACACCACATTTCTATTCCTATTTATTGTATACCATAAGGAAGAATGAGCTGACATTTCAGTCCAAACCTAGGTTTGGACTGAACTTTGGCTGTTCAGGCATTCTAATGAATGTCTGAACCTTAGCTTGTTTGTCTCCCTGCTTGGTGGGAGCCTAAAATCATATATAGAAGTATTATTCCTACTGTTTTTATATATTTTTTATATACATCAACTTTCTGCTGTCACTGGTTCCTAAAGACACCTGCAATGTCCCTAGGAATTATTGATGTTCTAGGAAATCCCTGCCCCTTTTAAGCAAAGGGGGACCGGGGTATAGTAGAGACATCACTGCCCGATTATTGTCACTGGCCATAATCATATTTGAAAATCAAAGAAAAAGGAATAGATGCTGTACATTGGTTGTGGGACCACAATTACATTGCTAGCAGGGCATATTTTTAAGTTTAATATAACATTATTTGGTTCATATTATTGTTCATTTGATAGAGGCGTGGAATATTTTCACCGCTATGTTTTGTTAGCAAATAATCATATTTGGTCAGCTACGTAACCATAATATTAGAGCTTAAGGGTTTGGTATGTATTTCCTTGGGAACTACACTTTTTAGTTTTTCATGAGCTACCCATTCAATGCATACCAGGCTCCAAAGGAGTTTAGGATGTGCTACAGCAAAAATTACATTTACAAAAGAAATGACACAGTTTAACCACTTGCCTACTGGGCACTTATACCCCCTTCCTGCCCAGGCCAATTTTCAGCTTTCAGTGCTGTTGCACTTTGAATGACAATTGCACAGCCATGAAACACTGTACCCATACAAAATTTGTATCATTTTTTTTTACACAAATAGAGCTTTCTTTTGGTGGTATTTAATCATCACTGGGTGTTTTATTTTTTGCTCTATAAACAAAAAAAGAGCAAAAGATTTGAAAAGTTTTTCTTTGTTTCTATTATAAAATTTTGCAAACGGGTCATTTTTCTCTCTTCACTGATGTGCGTTTGATGAGGCTACACTGATAGGCAGCACTGATGGGCACTGATAGAATGCACTGATGAGCTGGCACTGATGATGCTGCACTGATAGGCAGCACTGCTGAGCGGCCCTGATGGGTACAGGTGGGCAGCACTGATGGGCACAGGTGGGCAGCACTGCGGGGCACTGATCATCAGGGCATGGATCATCAGTGCCCTGATGATCGGTGCCAATCACTTCTCTGACAATTGCCGGTTATGGGCAGTACTATCCTCATGCTGTAACAGCGTGAGGAAAGTGCAGCCGATAACCGGCAACTGTATTTACCCGCTGATCTGCTGTGTCATTGGACACAGCTGATCACGTGGTAAAAGGCTGCTGTGATTGGCCGTTTACTGTATCACATGATCAGCAGTGTCCGTAGGACAGTGATCACTGGCGGCGCCAGGTTCTCGCTGATGGGGGCACACAGGGGGCGTGTTCTGGAATGACGTCCATGGATGTCACCCCAGAACTAGACAATCACACTGTAGCCATCTTTCTGCTATAGCACGGTAGGGAAGAGGTTAACCACTTGCCTACTGGGCACTTTTACCCCTTCCTGCCCAGACCAATTTTCAGCTTTCAGTGCTCTCATACTTTGAAGGACAATTGCACAATCATGCAACATTGTACCAAAACTACATTCTTATAATTTTTTTGAGACAAATAGAGCTTCTTTTGGAGGTATTTAATCACCACTGGGGTTTTTTTTTTTTTTGCTAAACAAAGAAAAAAAGACAATACATTTAAAAAAAAAAAAGTTTTTATTAGTTTCTATTATAAAGTTTTCTAAATAAGTAATTTTTCTCTTTCACTGATGGGAACTGATAGGCTGCATTGATGTGGAATCACTGATGGGCACTAATAGGCTGCACTGATATGTGGCACTAATGAGGCAGCACTGACGGGCACTATTAGGTGTCACTGATGGACACTGATGAGCACTGATAGGTGGCACTGATTCAACTGATGGGCACTGATTGCCAGCACACATGGGCACTATTGGCCCCACTGATGGGGCTACACTAATCACCATTACACTGATGATCAGTGCCTTGATGATCAGTGTAGATGTCCCCCTGTGAAATGCCGCTTACTGTGATTGGACACAGCTTGTCACATGCTAAAATCAGCTGTGATTGGCTCGTTCTTTAGTCATGTGATCAGCTGTGTCTGAAGGGGGCACGCGGGGGGGGGGGGGGGGGGGGTGGTTCCGGGACGCCCTCCAAGAACTAGCCGACCATGCTGTAGCTGTCTTTTGGCTAAATTTTAAATTGTCAGCACATGCAATTCATTGTCATCTTTAAAATAAATAAATCCATACATAAAAAGCACAATAACCCATGCAAAAGTCCCACACCCCCAAAATACATAGAAGACTATTATAGGGTCTGTGTGCTTCTTTTTTTTTTTTTTTAACAAAGAATCTGTTAATGACATGTCATTAACAGCAATTTTAACACTGTTCTTTTTTGTAGATGTTAGTGCTGCTGCAGCGCTTTCTGTATATCACAGAGATGTACCTCTTCGCAGCTAAGATTAGAACACCCCAGGTTCGTTATTTGAAGGATTTGGACATTTTGAATGTTTCACTTTAAGCATTGAAAAAATTGCTGCTCCTGACTGAATGTATTTTTCTTAATTTGTTTACATTAGTACACGTTCCTCAGAGCAGTGGTCACCACCCCATGCTATTTTTAAAGCACCTTGCCTATTAACCCAGAAAATAGGCATTTTTAATTGGCTTCCATTGATTGGTTTGGGTTCGGCATCTGCACTTCTTGAAGTTCACTGAACCCTGCTCGAACCTAACCAAGGGTAGTTCTGCTCATCACTAATAATAACTATTGTTGCACAGATGTTAATAAATCCTGATCACAGGATTATAACTATGTTGTTATTTAATTGATGTCTGCAGACACAGGGGAAGCCTCAAGAGTAGAAGTACAGGTGAAACTCAAAAAATTAGAATATCGTGCAAAAGTTAATTTATTTCAGTAATGCAACTTAAAAGGTGAAACTAATATATGAGATAGACTCATTACATGCAAAGCAAGATAGTTCAAGCCGTGATTTGTATTAATTGTGATGATTATGGTTTACAGCTCATGAAAACCCCAAAGCCATAATCTCAGAAAATTAGAATATTGTGAAAAGGTGCAATATTCTTGGCTCAAAGTGTCTCACTCTAATCGGCTAATTAAGTCATAACACCTGCAAAGGGTTCCTGAGCCTTTTAAATGGTTTCTCAGTCTGGTTCAGTAGGAATCACAATCATGGGAAAGACTGCTGACCTGACAGTTGTGCAGAAAACTATCATTGACACCCTCCATAAGGAGGGAAAGCCTCAGAAGGTAATTGCAAAAGAAGTTGGATGTTCCCAAAGTGCTGTATCAAAGCACATTAATAGAAAGTTATGTGGAAAGGAAAAGTGTGGAAGAAAAAGGTGCACAAGCAGCAGGGATGACCGCAGCCTGGAGAGGATTGTCAGGAAAAGGCCATTCAAAAGTGTTGGGGACTTTCACAAGGAGTGGATTGAGGCTGGAGTCAGTGCATCAAGAGCCACCACACACAGACGGATCCTGGACATGGGCTTCAAATGTTGTGTGCCTCTTGTCAAGCCGCTCTCAACAATAAACGTCAGAAGCGTCTTACCTGGGCTAAAGAAAAACAGACCTGGTCTGTTGCTCAGTGGTCCAAAGTCCTCTTTCCTGATGAGAGCAACTTTTGCATCTCATTTGGAAACCAAGTACCCAGAGTATGGAGGAAGAATGGAGAGGCACACACTGCAAGATGCCTTAAGTCCAGTGTGAAATTTCCACAGTCTGTGTTGATTTGGGGAGCCATGTCATCTGCTGGTGTTGGTCCACTGTGCTTCATTAAGTCCAGGGTCAACGCAGCTGTCTACCAGGAGATTTTGGAGTACTTCATGCTTCCTTCCACAGACAAGCTTTATGGGGATGCTGACTTCATTTTCCAGCAGGACTTGGCACCTGCCCACACTGCCAAATGCACCAAAACCTGGTTCAAAGACCGTGGGATTCCTGTGCTTGATTGGCCAGAAAACTCGCTTGACCTGAACCCCATAGAGAATCTATGGGGCATTGCCAAGAGAAAGATGAGACATGAGACCGAACAAAGTAGAAAAGCTTAATGGCCACTATTGAAGCATCCTGGTCTTCCATAACACCTCAGCAGTGCCACAGGCTGATAGCTTCCATGCCACACCACATTGAGGCACTAATTGCTGCAAAAGGGGCCCAAACCAAGTACTGAGTACATATGCATGCTTATAATTTTCAGAGGTCCGATATTGTTCTATGTACAATCCTTGTTTTATTGATTGCATGTAATATTCTAGTTTTTTGAGATTGTGGATTTGGGGTTTTCATGAGCTGTAAGCCATAATCATCAAAATTATGACAAATCGCGGCTTGAACTATCTTGTTTTGCATGTAATGAGTCTATCTCATATATTTCACCTTTTAAGTTGCATTATTGAAATAAATGAACTTTTGCACAATATTCTAATTTTTCGAGTTTCACCTGTAGATGGACAAGCACCAGCCTTAATGGAATCAAGTTACATGCTTTGTTTTACTGCATGGAAGTGCTTGGCTGGTCATTAGATATATGACAGATTTTGGATGGGACAGGGTGGAGGACATGAGGATGTTACTGAACCTTAGGTGGTACCTAAATCACCTAGAATGTAATCTGACCCTGTTGCCGACCTATGGGCATCCTAATTCCAGAGATTATAATATTTACAGTATGTGTGTGTTTTTAAATGTCTTTTACTATGACTTTTACTGTATTTCTCTTAAAATTACCCATTTTATTTGTAAACTATTTTCAAGTCAACTAAACAAATATAAATTCCCCTCCCAAGATGTTCTCTATTGCTTTGTACTGAATCATTATTGCAGTTTTCACCCTAAAGCAGCTGCATATGTATATAGTTATACACTCAATAATAGTTGCAACATCACGTCCTCCATTTAGATATGTACATCTAATATTCTTTGAATATCACACAGTAAATGTGCTACCTTTTTAAGGTAATTCTCTCTATTCCTTTAAAAATGAAGACATCAAAAAATCAAACTTTATCTGCAATACCATCATTCATATATACAATTGAATTTTTTAACTTTAGCATAGTGTGAGAAATTATTTGCCTGTATATGAAGGCTTCTGTCCTTTTCCCCAGTGCTCAGGGCACTGTGTATTTAGGCAAAACAGAGATTTGAGTTCCCTTGTGCTAGGGAAAGGGAGTTACAAAAGTCATACTGTATGCCGACACAGTGGTTTTAGAAAGTCTGACTGCAGAAGTACAGAATTGTTTTGGGAAAGCTGTGTTCTAACGGCAATCAATTAAACAATATTTACACAAAAGAGCAAAAAAAATATAATATATTGCAGCCTACCAGCCTTTAGGTGTGATGTCCGCATTATGTTTCTTTTTTCAAGCAAGAACAGAAAAAACCTTTGGTAATCTTGATTCACTGCCCTTACAGCTTCCTGTGTATTGAACTGACATATCAAACAATGCTATCACATTTCTCAGCTATCTTCTGTGAGCTACAAAACTATTGGGTAGTGATAAAAAGAATAAAGAGAAAAAAAAAAGAAATCTAGGGTGATAATGATGCTTCTCCATAGATACAGTATATTAGCGAGTGCTGTCGCCCTAGGACAGTAAAATATGTTGCTGGCAACATTGCCAGGTGAAAAAAAAGGGAAACAAATAAGAGAGGAAACTAAAGCAGCCACCACATTTAAGACTGGTAAGCTGCAGTATATTGCGTGTGTGTTTTTTGTGGTCAGATACATGTTAAAAGAAACAAACTGTAAGCCCACTATATTTTTGCATGCCACAGCTGCTGTACAAACCTAAAACAGGGCATGTGAATACCACCTTCAATTGTCCGCATTCTTGGAAGAAGTAGGAAACTTGGGCCATCCATCCATCCATTCTTTCTTATCTGAACCTTTATAAATACATAGCTACTTACGATGTTACAGTGACCCTGGTAGGTCAATAAAACATGTAGAAACACACATAGCTGACCCAAATGGGGCTATTAAACACAGGGATATGTTATTAAGTAGAGGCTGGATAGGAAGAATGCAGATGAAGAAACACATTTTAGTGTATTTCAGCTCAATGGCTGCCTGTTTTCTCATGTGCAGGAAGGTGCACTTAAAAAAACATCCTTAAAAAAAATCAGAG